TAGATGCATTCAGAATCGGTTCTCTTTGTTTACTTCTTACACCAAACTTGTAACCTTGGGTTTAATGTTTTCACATTTTATACATTTTATTAATGGGTAATGCCAAAAAAGAATACAAAAATCAATAATTAGGTCAACTGTATTATGAGCAGGACAATATATAGTACACAAGTGAATCTGTGAATAAAATTTAAAAAAAAAACTTCTTATGTGCTGTGTTCATGGTCATGCAAAGAGTAGGAAAATAACTAGATAAACTACTTTCTTCTTTTTTTGTGCAAAATAGATTACGTTTTACATACAGGCAGATGTAAGAGTGGCAAAATGTATCCGGAAATCGGGTTCCTGTCGTGTTAAGATTTGATTTTCGGATCAAACTTTCAATTCGAATATGAAATGTTTTTATTTACGATCAAAAATTGAAACTCGGACATAACCTGTAACATATTACAATCACAGAGGTTAACATGCAAAAATTAAAATTAATTTAAAAAAAAAAAATGAAATATGCGGTTGATTTATGACCCATAACGGATTATATTAAAATCATCAAAATTTTAATATTTTTTTAATTTCAACCCATAACGGATAATAATTTATGTCAATTATCCAAACTTATACACGACTCATTTTATCTCATAGGTAGATACAATTTGTATTTTGACATGATATCGCTAATCGACCCACAGATTATAACACGTTTTGTCAGCTTTAGACATATGTAATTGCTAGTACCAAAAAGATATAAATTTCATTATCCCAAATTTCTTAGAACAAGTAAATATCATCATGTTAAAATTCTTGCTTTTTCTTTGGGAATAAATTAAAGGATTTGATATTTTTATGTTATAGAATATAAAATTATCTCTTACATACGCATATAAAAATATGTGGAGCCATGTGGAGTTATGTGAAAAGAAGAAGAAAAAATTTATGGACCTTATATACTAGTTTTATCTCTTACGACATGAAAGATATTAAATTCTAAATTAAATTTGATATTTTAATTTTAATTTTAATTTGTTCAATATTTTTTCATTGCGTACAATGTACCAATTCTCACAGCACAGGTATGTAAACCAGAGATTAAGGTAAAGTGTGAATGCGTTACCAAAATAAAGGCAAAAGAATTGGTATGGTACATGCCCCACTAAGCAGGCTGTAAATAGCAGCATCCCTAGGGAAATGAGGCAGCACCTCTGTGGAATGGGAATCCTATGCCTAACAAATAACATAGAGCCTGAAACCTACAGCAGATTTCTACTATTGAAAGCACTGTTTTCTGAAACAGAATGATCCCAAAGAATCAGGCTCATGCCAAGCATCCACACCAAATAAAGTGCAATTTGAGTGTGTTGCGTCCTCTGTACCATTTCTGTTGCTGCTACTGCAAGCCATGTGTACATGTTTGCAACTTGTTGATTGCTGCGTCTAAATTTGACTTCCACACCCTTCAGAGATAGAAAAAGAAAAAAAGAAAGAAGCTATTCAAAGCCTCCCCACTTGCATCTTTATATAGTATACTTCTTCCTCTCTCTTTTTTAACTAGTGTATGGTACTTCGTAAAATCGTGGGTTATAAATTGAGATTCTATTAAAATTAAGAATAAGCTATTCTACTTTTTGAGACATGTTTAGTACATAAAACATTGTATAGACCAAAGTATATTTAGTTCTTGCGTAGAGACAACAACTTTAAGGGGATGTTTGGTAGGTGGTTTGTTGTGGAATTGATGGGGAAATGAAAGTGGGTATTTAGTAACACCATGTTTGGTAGAAGTTTTGGAAAAAATAATAATAGGCAATCGGTTTCCCCAGCAATGCATATATATGTGTAAAATGATGCTCAAATCACTGTTTGAAAAAACCTCATTGGAGATGGTATTTGCAAATGGCAAGGCAAGTTAAAAAATGCAATATCCAACTAAGACGGAAATGCCCCTTATCTTATCCTCCTGTAATCTGATGAATTTGATGCAAGGATAAAGATCATCCAAAAAGTCAATTTGGTTAAAGTTGCCTTCATGTTTTTGGGTAGCCGCAACCAGAGGAAATGGTTGCTAGTGCTCACTGCTCAGTTCACCTGTGGATCAATTTGAATAGAATTATGCATATATATTGAAGCCTGATATAATGATCGAAAAATTAAAAGTAAATTGAGTTAAATTCATAGTGTTTAGTGAGCAATCACATTAATATAGCCGGTGGTTCTCTAATTTACAAATTTTTTTATTTTCCCAAAATTTTTAAAAACAGGGATATTTTCGTAATTGTCACTTATTTCCCCATCTATATTTTACCTCAAACCAAACATAGATTTTATAAATCTTATCTAATTTGCCCAGTAAAATTTTTTCCAACCAAACAACTTTTTTTACATTTTCCTACCAAACTCATTTTTCAACATTTCCCTATCAATTACATTTCCCTAGTATTCTTAAAATTTATCCTCAACCAAACGCCCCCTAAGGGATTTTGTATTCATTTTATTTTTAAATAAAGGCTAATGTTTATATTGGACAAATCATAAAATAAATTTAATGATAAAGATTGTGCAATAAATTTTTGCGTATTGTCTCTCGTGACTATCTTAAATCATGAAACGTGATGTGATTTAAAATGCCGAAAACTTCCCGTCATTCTGTCATTTTGTTTTTGATATATTGACCACACAAAGATTTGAATCTATGTTCTCTTTGCAACTACCCAAATCCCAAATTACTACTATCACACCCCTAACGAGTTATAAGTGAAGGAAGATATCTAAGAGTTCTACACGGGTAAGTTATATTTACAAATTTTTTTGTTTATAAATTATATTATATAGGACCGGTCTTACATTAGTCACACAATGTACGATCGATCCTACATTAGTGTAATTGCAAAAAAAAATTATGCAGTTACTGAAGTTCTGATCTATATATCCAAAGTTCCTAAAGAGTAATAACATTCCTCTGACCACCCGATTCACTAGAATCTTAATCTGTAAATGTTGACATAGTATATATCTTCACATTCTCATTCCTTCCAAGTGATTTAACAACTTTCTATACATTATACATCTTCACGTCTAAGACAAAAGTTTATCCTATGTTCTATACTTCTTGGGCACCATTTATATTGGATAAGCATATGCAGTTATGTAAAGGACAACAAATAGATTAGCCTTTATGTATCCGATTACAACCCAAAATATAAATTAATCGTTGAATCTAGCTTCACAAACCAAACTATTGATGACTTACGTTATTGAGTCTTGCATATTCCAAATCCTTCATATTTTTATATATATTTTTTATAAAGTAAGATTTTAATCGTTATGCGAATTAGTCTCTCGTCCCACTGAAATTTGGTTTTTATTTATAAATTTTTAAAGAGTTGTCATAGAAATTTTTTAGGTATTATTTTTAACGAGTTATAAAACATTCATTTGATATAGCTTCTCATGACACATGTTTAATGGTACAAATATAACCAACAATCAATAAATATTTAACAATTTATGAAAGTATGAACATTAAAAAAAAACACATACTATAATAACTCTTGTATTAAAAGAAAATCAAATATGAGAACTAACATTTTATTTTCTGCATAACAATACCCTTAAACATTTATTTTTTATTGTTTGTTACTAGGATGTTGCTTTCGAACGGTTGAGCCTCCACTGCCTATACTTTTTATTTTAGTTTGTTTATTTAAAAATTCTACGTGTCAAAAAACACTTTATCCATCTAATGGAATATTGTCTCCTTTATTATTTACAATTGCAGAAAAAAAAAATCTAATAAAACAATTGACTCTGGAAATTTCAGAGTATGAAATCTGTATTAAATCATGACAAACAATAAAATAAAATAAAAAACAAGATCAAGAGAAATATAATTACGGGAGTTAAATGTAGGAACCTGTTTACCAAAAAAAAAAAATGTAGGAACCAATTTTAACCAGCAGGTCACTACTCCTTTTTCTGAGGAAAGATTTTCCATATCCTAAGATTAAACGGGCATTACAACTAAGCCTGTTGAATGCATAGCGTGCACCCAAAAAAAGAAAAGGAAAAGAGAAAAAAGGAAAGAGAAAAAGGAAAATGGGTGGCACGAATAAAGGATGCAATAAAAGCGTGGTGTAGTGTGGTGGTGTGTTGTTATGTATGTGTGTGGCACACTGAACATCAGCATCACCACCACCTTCCTTTTCTTAGCAATGTAAAGTTGGGTTAGCCATACATCTCTATGAGAAAGAAGGGAGAACAACACCCCCATCATAGATGGCTACGTTTCCTTCGAAAGCCTTGAAAATTAGGAATCAGCCAACCTTCATTGGTGAGTTCCAAGATGGAGACTATACACGTCTTTTTTTGCCATCAATGAAAGCTGCATATGAAAACGATTTGTATCCATTTCAAAAGCAAAACCATTCTACCTTACACGTGTTAAAGTTAACTCAAAATGCGTGGCCCAGTCCAACCTAGTTGCACACAAGCTTCACTCCCAAGCAATGCTTAATAATCTTTTAAAGCATAGGAACACACACACACTATAGCTATGACACATGAAAATGTTCTATCTTTTATTGCTCCATTTTTGTTTTCTATATTTGATTTTAGACAAAAAAATCTATTGATACGAGAGTCCCAAGTTGGTTCAGCGGTTTTATTAAAAAAAATATACATCAATGTCCAGCTGTCACAACTCCTTGGGCAAAGCAAAAGCTACTTTTAATTATACTGAAAAAGCAACCAAGTCTTCAGCAAGATACAGCATATAATATAAGAGACCCTTTTCAATTTTAATTTATTATTAACTACTTAACGATATTGTTCTTTCTTAGCTCACCAAAAAAATCAAATCCCATCTAGGAGGACCGTCCTGGCCATTATTTGAATTTAAATTTATTACAATACAAAAAAAGAATTTATATATATAGTTAAAAAGTAAAAGACAAGAGAGGCACACATCATTATCAACAACCAAAGATGAGATAATGAAAATTCCTTCCATTATTATTAATAGTAATTTAGGTGGACAGGTTGGAATCAGATTTTACTGACAATAATTCCCCAAAAATGATTCCATTGTGATTCAACAATTGATAAGAGCTACAATCCCTCTATAGTAAATCTGGTTCAGCCCTTCCTAATTGCTACATAGGCTTCCCAAAACTCATATTTTATTACCCTAAAGCACCAAATAAAAGAAAAAGCAAAAATTGACCCATCCACCGGTTTTGTCTTTCCTTGTGACTTTCGAAGCCCATCAAAAAGAACAAAAGTAACTGATATCACTGCAAATTTCAGATCTGCTGCATTGCTGCTAGCTAGCTTTCTCCAGAGGCTCCAAACATTATTCTGAACCTCAACTAGCCAAAACCCCAAAAACAAAAACAAGAACAAAAAAAGATATCTTTTGTTTACCCACCTCTTCAACCAAGGCATTTTTTTTCTCATTTACTTCATTTTTTTACCATTCCCAACAAAAACCTATTTCTTTGTATAAAACTATTCTTCTCAAGTTCCTTCTCCTACAAGTTCAAACTCCTATAACTATTTTCCCAACCAAAAAACTATTCCTCTCCTAAAGAAAATTTAATATCAGTATGTCCACTCCTGTGGCAACCGGATCTCATGGTTCACTGTTGGCTGAGGTCTGAGGTTGCGCTTCTGTTCAGAAAAGACATCATTACTCCTATGCCTGGGAACAGCTGCTACTGCTAACACAAGAAGTCAAAGATACACAGCTCAATAAACCATTTTGAATTAAATAAAAAACACAAAAACAATATTTCAACAGGAAAGTGACAAATCCACGATCAAATATTATTTATTTATTACCATTTTCCATGTTCGAACTGACATTAAAACGATGCAAGTGTTGTGGATGGCCCCCCACCCTGTCATCAAGCTTTAGATTTAGGGCCTGCGCCACTCTAGCTGGAACCAACACAGTTGAACACGCTGCAAACACGAAATCACAACCAAAAAACACAAACATTAACAACTGTTTAGGGAAGCAAACACAACAATAAAAAAAATGAGTCAAAAATACCCCACAATAAACAATAACCAAATCGTAGATCAAGGCTTAGCAGCCAACATTTATAACCTCCAACCGATTGGAAAAAACCTCTTAAATTCTCCCTAGTAATGATGTCAACCACCAAATTAAATGCAACAAATCCTTGGAAACAAAAGAACAGCATTTCCTCACCTGGCTTCTTTCGGGATTCAGCAGGACTATCAATTCGACGGGGCAAGAACACCCCAGTGCCAGCACATTCCCTTCTACCTGAAGGGTTTCCAAGAAAAACAGCTCTCATGCCAGACCCATATTGCTGATTCTGCTGCTTGGCATGTTGCAAAGGAGGCCATGCAGATTGAGACAAACCCAGAGGCCTGGTGTTTCTGCCTCCACCATCAATGTTTCTGCCTCTATTTGAAACCATTTGATTGTTTTGCCTCTGTTGGTAAACATCACCACCAAGCTTCTGCACACCCCACACCGAATTCTGTTGCTTTTCCATTTGTTGCTGCCTCAGCATCTGAAACTAACAAAAGTCACCAAAACATAACAAAAAAACAATATTAAGTACCTTCAATGAAGAGGTAATTTTATACCACAAAACAAAACAAAAATAAAAGAGATAAAAGAACAAACGAAGCTTACTTGTGCTATCTGCAATTGCTGGTGGGAAAGTGACTGTTGGGTATTGTAAAAGCCCACATCAAGATTGGTGGTGGTGTTGTTATTGGAGGGTAGAGTGACAGGAGAGGGCTTTCTTTGAGGAACCAATAGTCTATTGTGATTGTGATGGTTGAAACCATAAGCTTCTTGGTTCAACCTCATCCTCTCCACTTCCCCTACAGCCGCATGTAGCAGATCCCATGTAGCCCTCGCCGAGCACAACTTGCAAACACCGTTGGGGCTACCTTCGCTCGAGCCTTTGCGGCAACCACAACCACTCCCGAACGCACACAGTGTGGACTGAGGCGAACCAGTCACGAAACGACCCTGCAATAAGGCCAAAAACAACCAAAAACATTAAAAATAAACGAAATAAGAAAAAAAACAATCACAAACCCAGTTGAGAAAAACAACTTCAAATGACATACTAATCCACTGAACAAGCTTCAAGAACAAAAACCCACTTGAGAAAACCTTAAATAAGACACAATATTCCACTAAACACTCACTAGTGTTAAAAAAAAAAAGTTCAGAAAAAATCTCACTGTTCCACCTGATATCATGAAAAACAAAAGGAACCCATTTGACAAAAAAACCTCAAAGAACACACACTATCACCGGGAACAAGAACGAAGAACGAAAAAAGAGAAAAAAAAAACAAGGAAAAGTAAAGCTGCAGTTATACCATGGAATTGTCAGAGGTTTTGAAATCAGTTTGGAGGGTGGAGCGAGCGACTCGGCGAGTCAACTCGGCAACGAGTTGCTCCTCCTCGTCGCTCTCAGTCTCGCTGGAGCCACCACCGAGGGACTCAACGGGGGAACTGAGGTTAGAAGAATAAGGGAACTCCGAAGGAAACAAAACGGCGTCGTCACAGTTATTGCGGTTCCAAGGTGAGTCCTTTGGCTTAAAGGGTGTAGCCGTCATGTCCTCGTCGGCGAGGAACTGTGGCGGCAGCCAAAACTCTCCGTCGTCCAAGTTCTCAGCCATAGCTTAGAAAAAAAAAAAGAGAAAGGGAAAAAAAAAAATCAAAGAGAGGATATTTTTTGGAAGAGGGAGGGAGGGAAAGGTGAAGTGTGAAGAGATTTTGCTGGTTTGTGAAGATTTTAATAGCTATGATGATGATGATGATGGTTGTGGACGATGTGTTATTCTGCTATGCACTCTCTTGGGGTCCCATCATTGCAAAGATGCAAAATATTCAAGTGAGAAAAAAGTGAGTGCGTGTGAGAGAGAAGAGAGAAGAAGGTGTGTATTTGTAGAGAGAGAGAAGAAGGATAGCGGTGCTGTAATAGTTTAATGTTTACGCGGTAAGGTGAGTGTGGGTTCACACGCGCTACCCCCATGCAAGCAAGGGGTAAGGTGAGTGTGGGTTCACGCGCGCTACCCCATGCAAACAAGGGAAATCGTTTTTATTTTTATCAGTTTAAAGTCCATTAAGAAAAAAAAAAAACAAGAGTTACGATTCAATTTTTCATATTTTTTAGTTTTTAATAATTTTAATGACTTCATATCCATTTCAAATTGAAACAGCATGTGGTATTAGTATTACACCGGTTCACATTTTTAGGGATTAATTTAGTTAAATAACTTCCTGGGTTTTTTTTTTTTTGGTCAGGACTTCCTAGGTTTTTATTATGTGAAAAAAAATTCACGAAAAAAATATATTTTATTTTTCATTTTTATTAGTTGGAGCGAAGTCAGCTAGAATATGAGCACAAATTGACTGGGGTTTGAAGGGAAAATTTTATTTTTATTTTATATTTGTTTTTACTTAAAAAATAAATTGAAAAGTGTAAAAGCACTCTCGGTGGGTGAAGGCGTTCCGCACAGGCACAGGGATTGAAGTAACGCAACGCTACAGTGAAACCCCATGAAGAAGGTAATTAAATTATATTTCTCTATTGTTGCAAAAAAAAATGATTTATGACTAAATCTTGATATGTAATTTTTCGTCCGAATTCTTTTAAAATAATTTAATATAGTTTCTGACCAAAAAAAAATTTACTTTATGTTTCTTTACTTTTTAATGACCTGACAAAATTGTCTATGTAAATTGTTAGTTATAGGTCATGATATGAATCAATGACGCAAAATTATTAAATTTTTTTGGGTTAACTTAAAACTACAATGTTTGAATCATTAAATAAAATGAAATGTGATCAACTAATGTTTGAATCGTCCCAAACGATTCATGCAAATGAATTTACATTTATTAAAAGAGCAAAATTACCAAGTTGCCAAATAATGTTTTCATGGGACAAATTTAAAATGTATTTATTCTTTTAAAAACCTAACACGTATTCAATTCACAAAAGAAAAATTTTAATTTTAGAAACTAAGTTTAGTATATTTTTAGATTAGATTTAGAACATGCTTTAGACTAAAAGTGTTACGATTTATTATTATTTTGATAATTCGTTATAAACATAATTTTTCATATATAATAAAATATTAATATAATTTATTTTATTATATATCATAAAATATTCCTTGATTTAATTGTATATATTTAGAAAATTTTAACATCATAATATATCAGCGATAACTGGTTTACAGCATCAAATTTTAACTGATATTAGCGAAGGAAAAAGTACAAAAATCTAATAATAAGAAGAAGGAGAAAAAAAAAAAAGGTTTTTAAAACAATCCGTAATTCATCTATATGTGGTTTGGGAGATTCACAATTGTTGCATATTTGAAATTGCAACAAATGATGAATTTAAGGTTACATTAATAAGAAGTCATTTAAATATTTGTTTTTTATACCCTCGTTGAAAGATTTAAAATTATATTTACAATTGAATACATTAAGTAATTCTAAAAAAAAATGTGATGAACGTATTAAGCATTTTTTTCACTGTATTTCATTTAAGTTCGGGTTGAGTAAACACTACTAATTCAGTATCTTTGTTGAATTGTTTCAAAGTTTCAATTTAGTGCTGTAGTTAAGTAAATTAAAACTTAGTGCCGTAGTTAAATTATTAAATAATATTATTACCAAAAAAAAAGTTATTAAATAATAGTACATTTGCTTAACAAACTTTTTTAACATCCTCTTAATTATTTAAAATTAAAATGTAATAATTTTTAAGAGTAAAAAAATATGTTGTAACCAAACAAATATTTCATTTCTACATGATTAACAAATATTAGAAAACCCATAAAGGAAATTTAGAATAATTTAACTATTAATAAAGCTTGAAAGTTTTGACTTTTATAATGGCTTATGATTTGCACTAAAATTTAATTAAGAATATTTTATAATTATTCAGTAACTCATTTATTTTCGGTACAAAAGTTTTTAAAAAAATAATTAAGAATATTTTATAATTATTCAGTATCTCATTTATTTTCGGTACAAAAGTTTTTAAAAAAATTAAATGAAAGAATTCATTGAGAAAGTTAATAATAATAATAATAATAATAATTATTATTATAATAATAATAGTAATGACTTTGATTTTCTTATGTTACATGATAATTATTTTATTATATTGTGACTAAATTAGTTGTGGATCTTACACTTATTAAAAAGAAAAAATTCAAAAAAAAAATCATGTGATTTTATTTTGAATCACTTACACTTCTATTTTTTTTAAGAGAAAAATATTTGTCATTTTAAATGACATAAAGTTATATTATTTAATAAGAGAGATAGACACAAGAAATTATTTTTTTATTTAAAATTTAAATTAAAAATATCGACCATTTTTTCTCGCATGATTTTTATTTCTTATATCTATCTCTCTTCTAAAATGACATGACTTATGTCATTTAAAATGACAAACATCAAATCCTTTTTTTAATCATTTAACTCCCTGTTATTTTTTATTTATACCCCTCCTTAACACTATTAAAAGATTAATTAAGTATATTATTCTACCCTTCTTATAAAAAAAAATAAAGTGATACAAAATTAAGATCAAATATTATGAAAATTTAGAACACTTAATAAGACTAAAATAAAAAATAGTAAAAAAATAATAAAATATGTCAAAATAAAAAAACAAAAGAAATAAATGTATAAAAAAATAAAATATAATAAGAATAAAAAATAGTAGAAAAAATAAGACCAAATATATTAAAAATCATAACAGTAACAAAAAAAACTAAAATAAATAAAAATGAAAATAGTCCAAAGAAAAAATATATATTGAAGACAAAAAACTAGAAGAAAAAATTAAGATAAAAAATAAAATAAAAACAAATCATTTGTGAGTTTCCAATATATTTAATTTAATTTTTTCTTTTATTACTTTTTTTCCTTAGTCCATTTTATTCTTTTTTATTTACATATGTTTGATTTTGTTTTCTATTTTTTTTACTTTTTGATCTATTTTATTCTGATTCTCTCGTCAATTTTTTTTTAGCCTTACACAATCTCATCTACTAAAGATTTTTATAAAAAAAAAAGAGAATAAAATGGAGAAATAAAAAAGATCAAACATATTTAAATAAAAAGAATAAATAGACCAAGGACAAAAACAATAGAAAAAAAAGTAAATATTTTACAAATTTATAATTGTAATTTTTTTTGTTCTATTTCTTATTTAATTTATTTTTTATCTTAATTTTTTCTTCTATTTTTTTTCTTATTCTATATTTTTTACTCATTTTATTTATTTATTTAGGCACAAAACACATTGGATTTGCTTTGCTATTTTTTATTTTAGTCTTTTATTAAGTGTTGTAAGTTTTCATTATATTTGATCTTATTTTTCTTTTCTTTATCTTTTCTACTTAAGAAGGGTAGAATTGATATATTTAATTATTTTTTTAACAGTTTTAAAAAGAAATATGGATAAAAAAACACAGGGATTAAATAATTAAAAAAAAACATAAGGATGTAAGTGATTCAAAGTAATATCACACTAAGATTTTTTAACTTTTCCCTTAAAAAAATCTTTACACATACATTAAAAGATTACAACATTAGAAAATTCTTAATAAAATAATTATTAATAATTATTATGTTATTAATAAGTGTTTTTCCCTAATAAATAATGATAATAATAATTAGCGAGCTATGCTTTTATCCACAAAACATTCCTAATGAAGTAAATATTTTCCCGATGTAGAAATATTTTAGATTTTATGAAAACTAAAAAAAGAAAAATAAATTGGTGAAATGACATGGCAATAACAGTAGTTTTACGGGTCAAACCTCATCGCCTTACGATGTCGTTTTCACAACATCATTTCGGCGTGTTCATACATTTCCATTGTCAAATTGCCTTTATTAGTTGGAATACCCTCCCCTCCTTAACTATAAACTCATCGCAACAATGTGCAACTGTTTTTAAAATTATTCAACTAGTCATATAACATATTAAATTGCGGTATGTTGTTCTCCTCTAAGATAACATTTTCTTCATACTCATACATCAAAGTTGTATTTAATATTCTTTTATTTGTAAAAAATGAACCCTACATATTTTATGTCAATAGCACTAAATAATAAGTCTCTTACAACATGAGACTTGTATTCCTCTATTAAAATTTGCTTAATTTGTAAGAAAAAGTTTTTTTTTTCTTGTTAGAAAAATAATCAATATTTTGATTATAAAATTTCAATATAAAATAAATTAATTTGAACATATATTTAATTCATAAATCAATTTGATAAAAAAAAGTTGAGTTAATAATGTGCAAAAAATGAGTGAATCAATCAGTGTTTTAAAACCCGGCTCGGACCGGCCGGGTCAACCCGGAACTCGGTGACCCGGTGGGTTCCCCGGTCCGAGCGGGTAGTTAGACCGGTTATGCAGTCAGCCTGGATTGGACCGGTTGACCCGGCGACCCGGTTAACTCGGGTTAAACCGATTTTTTCTTTTTTTTTGGTAATTTTTTTTTTGTTGATAAGAACTCTTGAATTAAATCATATTCATATTTTATGATGAATATGATTAAAAGTAAGGTGAAAATAATAAGGTATTTTAGATTAGTGTAGTTCGTTTATATAATTTAGTTGCATCTTATAATGATCTCATAAAGTTAAGTGGTGATAAACACTGATGGTCTCATGATCTCATCTCAACGGTCTAGAGCTAGAAGCTTAGAAGTATATAATATTTGCTATCATTGAAAACCAATTTATTTTTTGAATCTCATAGATAGTTTTCTTATGTGAATTTTTATTAATATAAGCAATATTTTTATATATTTTTTTATAACATATTTTTATATTTTTAATATGTGAACAGTAAAA